CAATCGGGAATTTATTTCGTGTTTATAACTATTTAATAGTTGTCCGTAGACAATTTGATCCAGCGCTTAAGAGCTATGAGAATATCTGCCAATAGTAGATAGTTTATATTTTACCCAACTTAGTAACCACTTTAAGAAATATGCAGGTCGTTTAGGTTTTGTGTTTGATGCACGAGCGGATTGGTATGCATTTGCCAACTACTTTATGAATATGCACTTTATAAACTTGAACAACTGCTTGCAATCAAGTGAGCCACAGCTTCAAGGAATGCTGCAGAACTAGGCTCTGACGATATTAACGACACCGATCACGGCCTGAATAACAATATAGCAGCCAACTAGTAAGTGTCAAAACTCTCACTTGAAATCTGAAGATCCCTAAAGGAAAATAGCTATCTAAAAGGCACAAAACAAAGATGTTTGTAATATGAAATACATATATATCTAAATACATTTAATAAAGCTGATTCTAATTAAAATATGTATCGCAATATTCTAACTCAATTCCTTCATTATCTTGGTCAAGATCAAAATAAAAGCACCTAAATTTGTTTCTGTCGCTGACTCTGTCATATCTTCGTAAGGGTCTGACCCGTTGTCTTATTATATATGCTTCCTTCATTTATTTTTCGCGTTTATATGGTACGGTAGATCATCCAGGTGTACTCATTCATCATGGAATTGAAGCATCACGTCATGGTGTCATCAAAATTTTACAGCACTGGAAAGTCGCTAAATGTACATGAAAAGTCCCTAAATGTACTTTAAAACTTTGTTTGAAATAAATTTGAGAAGGCAAATGAAAATCACATTCAGCGAATTTGATTTGGTAATCAGAAAACGTACCCGTAAATTCGTATGTACCTTTAGTGGCTTTCCCATGAAGGCCATGTACATTTAGGGTATTTCCTACACAAATATCTTGATATGTTTTAACTATTCTATCGTAGAATGTGTTCTTGAAAGTGTTGTTTTGAGGCTTTTAAATTTTGTTACCTCGAGTAGATCGGCTCAAATTTCTTTCCGGGGTGTATGTCAGTTTGTGGCTATACAGGTTCAGCTCTTCGGTTATTTGCGCGTCAGTCATACATTTTACTATGTACTATGGTTGTTGGTGTGCTATTTCATTGTTCTCGGCTTCAACCAATGTCTCGGCTTCAATCAGTGTTCCTCGGCTTCAACCAGTGTTAACCTGGAATATAAAAGAAATTCTTGTCGGCTTCACGATCGTAGCAAGTGTCGAGAATTTATTCTGTTGAATAGCTAACTAGGTCGTATCCTTCGAGAAAGTTGTAAGCGCTCTTAATTGATGCGTCGAAACTGGTTAAAAGCTGAGCCCTTCAAGATCCTGATATGTTTGAGAAGCTGCTAGATGGCAGTCTCAGTTGGAGATATTGCATCTTTGGCTTGACGAGAGGGGCGAGCTGAAGTAACCTTAACTTCAATTCAGTACGATAGTCGGGCTTAGTCGTCGCCTATATTTCATATGTTTGCAGGCACGTATGGGGTTTGGGCGTGAATCTGGTACCGTGACCAACCAGATATTGCTTGATCATCAATGGAGATATCACTTAAAAAAGATATATCCACAATAAAATCATCGTTGGCAAAAATTTATGGTGTTCGGCCTGTTCCTTGAGTTGAGTGTGTTTGTTTGCCCACACACACATGTGCCCATCATCGTTCCGTTCAAATCCACAAAAATAGTGACGATTGATTGATTTCCATCACTTGTGTGATATGTGACCATATTATTGTATTAATATAGTAGCACCTATGGAGAATCGGTGAGAAAACCTTGGTTGGGGGAATCAATGACCTCGTACGAACAACTCTCTAAAAACCTTATGGTAGGTAAGACCTACCTTCCTGATAATCAGCAAGAAAATTGCTTGCCAGCATTGTCCGGGCAAGTACAAGATACATGAAGAAGTTCTGAGTTTCGTTGCAATATAATGTCGGAAATTTCAGCTGAGATTGGATCGTGAAATCCAACATGTGAGCCAAAATTTGTTCTTGGTCAGCGATTGAGTTGGTATTTAGTTTGGAGTATCACTTGTCAACGTTTGCCCCGTCTGGAGTGTGAGAGGGCCTTTGTATGAGTCACCCCTGTTTGTATATAACTTGTGGAAGGACCATGGTTCAGGCTCTAAACAAAACTGGAAAACTTGGTTAGCCTTGATACGTGGAATGTCATCTTTCTATAAAAACGAGTTCTCCATTGACTTCTTCACGATAAGTATTTTTGTACAGAATATGGTAGAGACTTAATATGATGAAACGTATATATATCACGTTGCAATTGTTTTTCTTCATATTCAGTATATAAAATTTATCGGTCTATGTGTACGTTTATTCTGAACATATAAAATAGAATGCTTTCAATAAGAATGCATTTTTATGGTATATACTGCGGTACGACAGATACTGAATATAATAAAGCGTATATATAATACGTTTTTCTTCATTGATATTCAGTACATTAATTAAACGATTCGAAAGTACGTCAAATTTCATTCATAAACGTATACATTAGTTTTTTCATCGTATTTATAGTACTCTCAGCATGTGAGTGTATTTCAAAACTCACAGTTAAACTGAGGATAAGTTTTTCGTGAAAAAAAATGCTGACGGGAACTGATTGACAGAAAATCCCCAATGAACAGTCACAGTATAACGTTTTACAGGCACGAACAGCGTGGGACTGACTACTTGAGCAGGCAGTCCACTCAGTTTTCTGCCACCAGTTCCACTCAGTTTCCTGCCACCAGTTCCACTCATTTTTCTGCCACCAGTTCCACTCAGTTTTCTGCCACCAGTTCCACTCAGTTTTCTGCCACCAGTTCCACTCAGTTTTCTGCCACCAGTTCCACTCAGCTTTCTGCCACCAGTTCCACTCTAGTTTTCTACCACCAGTTCCACTCAGTTTTCTGCCACCAGTTCCACTCAGATTGTCCACAGCCAGATACCTGTAAACAAACGTGCTCCCAACGACACCCCATTTCACGCGACAGAACCTCCTACATCCCGCCCTAGTCGCGCTACTGAGATAAGTTTCAGCGCTGCCACTACTGATACCTCAGGGGACACATACGCTCTATCCATGCGGACGAAGCTCTCGAGCCAACTCCCAGTTAAACTGAGGATAAGCTTTTCGTATAAAAAATTGTTGACGGGAACTGATTGACAGAAAATCCACAACGAATAGTCACAGTAAAATATTTTACAGGCACGTACAGCGGGGGACTGACTACTTAAGCAGGCAGTCCACTCAGTTTTCTGCCACCAGTTCCACTCAGATTGTCTCGAATAGCCACCCAAGTACCCTCAAGACCCACAGCCAGATACACGTAAACAAACGTGCACCCAACGACACCCCAGCTGACGCGACAGAACCTCCTACATCCCCCCCTCGTCGCGCTACTAATATATGTTTCAGCGCTGCCACTGCTGAGACCTCAGAGGACACATACGCCTCTTACCCATGCGAACGAAGCTCTCGAGCCTATCAGCGAAACTGTAAGCGACACCATTACCGGACAAACCCAACACCAGCCCATCTACATCCCCCATCGCAACTATCGACCAGACAATGATATGCCCGCCTTAGTAACCCTTCTCAAAGAGGAGATCACTAACAGCCACAAACGGTGCATAGAACTCACCAATCGTTGTGACCTTCAAGCATGGAGATACAGGCTTTAGACGCTAACCAGGTCTTTGCCACGACACCGAAGACGGAAGAAAAAGAACTATACGAGTACCACCCGCACAGCCGTGACAAGTCAAGGAGAAAGAAATCAGGTACTCTGATCCCTTTGTATGAAATCAAGCAGGTCCTCCGAGTTAGCAAAGGAGGACCTGCACACCTACAACGTACCCATTAAAAACCCCCCTCATTTAAGACAATCATGGATGTCTTGAGCAAACGGACATCTCTTGAAGTGTCGCCCTTATCTAGCCACATTTTAGACCATCACAGATACACAATCTTTGGTCGGGACCATCGCCTCACTCTTGGTTACTACGAATACCATATACACTTCAGCGAAGTCTATGACGTAAAACTCGAAATGAGCGCTGGCATAAGCACATTCAATCGCAATAACGTATGCTGCATGTAATGCAAAAGCGAGCATGCCTACTGCACTGGACTCACACCCAAAACCGCACACGTAAATTGCAAGGAACGCAACAGTGAGCACCTACCAAGTGCAAGCAACAAAAAATAAAATGCAACCTAAACAGTGGGATATGCAACCGTCTCGTGTCGCTACAGGCATGGAGATAAATGTAGCTTAAGGCACCCCGCACATAGCAAACTACCACCTTCTATCGGCTTCCTCGGGTCGAATGTTTTCGAAGCTTGTGGAGTTTTGGTCAACTACGAACACATAGACTGGCCTCTAGACTTCGGATTTGCAGACACAGGTCACACAGCATGGCGCTTCGTTGACGATTACATTGCTCTGCATCTTCTGGGTATAGTTGAAGAATAGGTCGGAGCAATGCTCCCGCAGAAAAAAACGATACTCAACAAGGCCTGCGTGAAATGGAATGTAATTCTGTGAAATAAACCCTAAATTCCTCAGGGCAAACGTGCAAATCACTTAAACACACTCGTACTGTAGACGTAAAAAACATCAGCGATGTGTCACGAAATTACATACACCGGCGGAAAACTTATCTGGCTCTCAGTCATCTTACTTGATCTTGCCCCCACAATCGCGTAAACTTTGTTTCCGGTCAGGTTTAGGGATCGAGACTAGCATATTTTATTTAATGATTTTTACGACTCAGGTGTTTAATCAAAATATTTATCTCAAGAGTTATTTGAAACATTTAAATTAGCTTATAGAAGTTGGTGATTTTTATTGAATACGCCCAGTTGGAAATATTTTGTTTGTGAGCGAGACGTTAGGTCCGACTACTGAGACATGGATTTCATAATCTTGTTTAATGCACAAGCAATAAACTCGTGGGTATGGTCTTAACTCATCATGGGGGTTTCAAGAATAAACTGTGAACATGAGCAGATAGAAGAAGAATCCGATAGTGGTTTCGAAAGCAGTATTGCGAGCACAACTATGCTGGTGTTGTTACCGGACAGTAGGCGCGACATGGCGATCCAGCGCATCAACGACCGAAGTACTTCGATGAAATTGATCACCGGCCACACAACGGACCGCATAATCGACGGATCAATGAGAAATTACGACATAGACTTAGACGGATCGTCTCTAGTCCGAGCTACTAATTCGTGATTCAGGTACGTTATTCGTCACGATGATACGTATACAAGAATAGTTGAATGTTTAGGCAATGAGCGAAAATACGACCTGTCAGGGGGTACAAATTGTACGACCCGACATATATACGCGATTGGTAACAAGACATGGCAGATATATGAACACGTACGCCATTATAGAACAGCTCAGTTATGGTTGAGTGTGAATTTTAAGGTTCAGATCAAAGATAGGACATGGCAAAAAATATAAACACATACGCCGTTATAGAACAGCTATGAGAGCGTCAATGAAATGATAAATGATGGGTCGTAAGTATGAAAGAACAAATGTGTAACATATATGATTTGGTGTATAACAAGTAGATAGTCACCGATACAGAGATGCTTATTAACGTATGAGTTTACTTCGAGCGCCGAGCTTACGACACCCATAGAGGTATATTATAAAACTATATATACAGTGGATGTAATCATTGTAAGAAGTCTTAACCTACACTTGATGTTGTGACTGATGGATAAAAGCTGGCCATAAATTGGTGTGTTTGTATTTACAGTATGGGGTGATGTGGTTACAGTGTTGGGCGTAAGGGCATTTGCAACGAGTCTAGTAAAATATTTCAAGGTATACATCACGGTAGGAAAAGTCCTTTCTACGTACATGCACATGGCAGTAGACACCATGGTATGTTAGCAGACATGCAATGTTGTGTTGTGGATACCGCAAAGCACATAATCACGAGTCGTTTGATGAGAAAGGTGTCAAGAAGGAAGTATAGAGAAGTAGATTCGGAGAGAGATGATGGTACACGGTGAACAAGTATACATACACACAAGTTGTGGTAATTATTCAGCCCAGATGGACAAGAAGCACAAGTTTGAACTATGGCACGCTTAGCCAACCGACGTGCGCATGACCAGGATTGTGTCCGAACAGTTGGGTCTACCAGGCATCCAATCCACAACCAGTTCATAAGCAATAGCAATATGGTACCAGCGTCCACCTATGTCCACACATTCAACTAACATCCAAGAGCATATGCTGCCAAACACAGGCACCACCTAGGATCCACCATATATATCGTTGCCATAACTATCGGGCAACAGGCGCGCCTCCCCAACCACTTCCACCACAGGATAGCTAAGCAGGCGATGGGCGTGCAACAGTAACAAGGAACTTTGTCTCGGATAGATGGCTCCCATACATGGACAATCTAGTATAGAAACAGTTACAAGATTCCATCATAGCGAAGAGAACTACCTCTACTACAGTAAACATTTCATTGCTAGCAGTGCCGACGTTCGACAGCGAATGTACGTTTAAGACGGTACGTGTATGTCTGGATGAAAGGTCAGTACATCGATTCCCGGCGATCAACTCCTTATACCTAAGGTGAATGAGATCATACCACGACTAAAGAGCAGAAAGTACTACACTGCATTTGGTATCGGCAGCATATCATAAGCTTTCGATACATCCAAATTCACAGTACCTTTTCAGCTTTACACACGACCGGCACAAATACTCCACTTCCGAAGCGTTCTGCCTCCATGCGTTGACGCAATAGTTTCAACGCACGTTGAACACGATACTCGATAGTCTCCCGGCACACCGCGATGTTGACAACATAGTGATTGCAAGTGAGGACCACGACGAACATATATCTACAGTTCAATATGTGATCAACAGACGTCTGCCCTATCACAATTTAAGCTCAACCCAGCGAAGTGTCACTTTGCCATCGCTGATCTTATGATCTTGGGTAAGAAGGTATCAGCACGAGATATTGACATCGACTTCGAGAAACAAGCCAATTTACTCGACTGACGATAAACACAGCGGTATAATAAAATTTCTTCAGCACTCGGCCTAGCCAATCTCCTTCAAGGACCCTTAGCAAACTTTGTGCATATAGTGCTCCCCCTCCGCGACGTTTGCAAACTCAAACTTCATACGTTAATCGGTGACCGGGAGGGAACAGCGGCATTTCACGCTCTGTGTGGTATTTTTCCAGACGTAACAGCCTACAAGTTAAGTCTCAGCTAGCAATGTCTCTACTAGCTGATGTCGTTTCTATACACACTTCAACGTACCGTTCGTACTTGACTACGCGTAGATTTTGTGAGAGAGAGTATATTACTGTCGTTATTAGCTAGTACAGAAGTCAAGCCAAGCTCTGTTGCAATACCTGGCCAACGTATTGAATCCTCGATCAGGGCAAACGTCTCTATTATGGAATAAAAGTGGATTATCTGTGTCGCTCAACTCCTCGCATATTCTACCAGTATCGAATTAGTATGCGTGAAGTGGCGCGGATACCCCTAATCAGAGCCAATAGATGAAACACTGGAACATCCAATGATGGGATATGGTGTTTGGTGCTTATTTAAACGATCCCCTTGTGTAAACGTCATACTATTATTAGCCACCTTGAAAATATAATAACAGCTTTCAAATATTACTGATGAACATTACTGAAGTCTGTTTTCCACTTGCATTTGATATCGATGTTTTTTCTAGACATTATTCGCTGTATTATCTTCGACATTATGTACAGATTCGATATTAGATACTTGATCCAAGTTTAAGCAACCGTCAAAATAGCAAACACTGCACATATTCCAAAACATCATGTTTAAAGACTCTGTGAGACTTGTTCTTTCGTGCAAAAGGAGTATTTACTATGCTGTAAATGTTTTCCATTGAAACGCACAAGTTCAAATCAGCGTCGACTCTTAACATCCGCGCAAGCAATAATTTCTCTAAAGGAGACTTGAACACGGACAAGTCGGTTTTATGCATCATAGGGCACTTTGTTTGTGATAGTAATAGTCAAGGTACGTACAGGCATGCTTGTGACGGAAGAAGTGCGTTATTCCTTCATCAAAATTGGTTGAAATGTGTCTGGTGGTCGAAACGCGGAGCTAATGTCTGATCACCCACGCCCATGAGAGTGCACTGTATGTTTTTACGGAAAAAAAGTTTACAACTAAAGGTAGAGGTTGTCTTCATTAAGTTCAGCGTATCAGTTGCCCGTCATTGGAAGGTAGATGCTCAACCCGGTCATCGCCCCACATTCTCAGAATTTACTCACACATCTCAAGATAGTCGATATTGCTGGTTGACCTCCGCACCGAAATGACTAAATTGAAATGGTTAAGAGATCTGACCACATGTAATAAACCATTATACAATGCTAACAAACCTGAAAGTAAACTATGGGTTGATTGCCTATCGACGGGATAAATTTACGTTAGCCTCAAATTAAGAGCGCCGAGGTGAAAAGTATGAATACTAGCTTCGTGCTTTAGGAATATTGTACCAAGATTATTCTGCAGATTTTCAAGTACTTATAGAAACCTTGTATGTTTCGCTTTCCTGATGTAGTCACAAACAGTGCAGACAAAAGACATTTGAACCGCAGAGGGCATGTAACTATTTCAACATACTCGGCGGTCAATGTTGGGTTTGCAGCTGATCTTCGATGATCACGACCGAAGCGCACGCAAAATACCTCCCAAAAAAAAGATAAATTGGGGTTCTCTCTCGGCGCTTTGACTACGAGCGGATCAGCGGTCCAGACACAAAACTCAATGAAGTTGGGTCCGTTTCCTCAAGGTAGAAAATACCCACAACTTCAACGGCTCGAGTATAGCACTTACGTCGTTACATAATCTTCTGCGTCTACCATTGGTAGAAAATCCACACAAATCCAACGGCTGGAGTATATCGTTTACTTCTTTACGCAATCTTCTGCGTCCACCATGTCATTTTTTCATCATGTATCGACTCGTCGTTGTTTAAAGATACGACAGAAATGTCAAAGCATGAAAGCCGATCTTTTCATGACTTCTATAAATCCATCACTCTAATTTGAATTAAAAACTGGACACAAGGAGTATGGGAGGCTGCGACAGACGAACGATTCCAGAGTTAAAAAAGACAATACAAGCTGTGGGACGCAGTCTGGAAGCAATGTCCTACATGGGGGTAATCCTGTTTTGGCTACTTTTAGTCGGTTTCACTTATATCGTAGTGACGATAAATGTGTATGAAATTGGGATTTGCAATACGTTTGTAGGTTAGTAGTCAAAGCTTGAATGTTTGATTGTTATATGATACGGAATAGAAAGGAGAATGATCAATTTATACGAATTTATTGCTCAATACGCCCTTGACCAGGCTTTAGATAGAAGGCGGAATGGTAGACTCGCATGTGGCGCATCCAGCGTTTTGGAGTACAAATTGAAGTGCTCCTTTTGTAACCGAGTAAGGAACATGTCCGCGGCCACCTACAGGTATTTGCAACCACAAACATGATAATGGTGAATGAAAATAACTTGTAGCAGATTGATGGATAAGTAATCGGAGGAGACGGATATCCCGGGCGCTCAGAAGTAGTGCATGCTGCGAAGAGGCAGATACAAATCTGGAATACAAACATTCTAGCAAGGAATATAAAACTCCCAAACACAGGCAAACGATACGCACACGTATGCATGGTCATAAACGCCAACACAACCGCACCCTCCAGACTTTAAACTAAGAATTATTATTCCTAAACATATAATAATGTGAGTGGCTAAGGATGGAAAAGGTTGACCTCAGGTGCAGGCAATCAAAAAATAATATCATTGCTCCAGAAACGCATCTCAACGCACACATGAAACATATGTAACACGATTCCAACTTTCACACGCGAAGGAAGAATCACAGAGTAGCGAAAATTTCGGTGGAAGGATGATATGATCAAATAGTTGAATCGCAAACTTATAAACATTACTACTAAGCCCCATGTGCTTGCTTGATCAGACTCACCTTCCTGATAAATGATAGATATGGCGAGACTCTTAATCAAGCACAAGCAAACCATGAGTACTGGAGATGCAATACACATCTAGCAAATATTGGCCTAATTTGCTAAAACATTTTTTTCTCGATAAATCATTACAACAATATATAGTTCGTAATATGTAACGACACAACTAGCCTTCTGCACCAGAAAGATCTGAAAGCAAGCAGTACAGCACATGACTTACAGCCGGAAGAAGAACCCGCTTAGCCCTAGGCGCCACATCGTTCGTATGCTCACGAGCCATTTCCAGGTGTGAATTAGCCTGTGAAGATATTGTATATGCTACCTCTGTGATGGCAGCTTCGTTTTGTTGCCTGATGACTTCTTCTTGACTCACTCCTGCCTGAATTGACAACCATTATAAAGCAAAATTTAATCAATATAGATAGAATCACTGATGCGCACGGCGGTTGCGGCATTTTAAAAAACTAAAATAAATATGCAATAACACGGAGTATAAATCGCTGCATGGACCATAACAACGCTAAGCATAGCCAAAGTAGCAATTGCGTTCAACTTGATCGCCGCACGCATGATTATGGCCAACATACACAAACAAACCCCATTAAACAAATGCCAGAGTTTTATGTAATCACAGCAGGCCCTGACCAATACCTACGACTAACAAAGGGCATGTGACTTACATAATTTTGGCCAACATACACAAAAAAACCCTCATTTAATGAACCTCCAAATTATGTAGTAAAAGTGTAATCACAGACGGCCCTGACCAAAGTATACGACTACACAAAGGCGTGTGCTTGCAGACTGTACTAAGCACAATTCAGCGGTCACGGAGAAAAATCGCAAATATACTTTGGAAACCAAGATAGAACACCGTGAAAGTAACGTGGCGCACACAGACTAGAATCGCACAGCATACCAATTATCTGTACATAGATGGTTCGCAAATCTGTCAGACCCTCCATTGAAGTGTAGAAAAACAAGAGCTCTACACACGAGCACATACCGCCAAAAGCTGATCCATAGGAAGGAATACTTTCCTCCTCCGAGCGTGGTATTGAACACCCCTCAACAAAGTAATGATTCCCTCTGTCTTACCCAGATGACTGGCAGCGTGATCTGCGTGGATATCCGAGACACCTATGTAGATATTAAATAATGCTGAGATTTGAGGTACAAAACGCTTTCGACACTCTGTGCGGTGAACTCGCAGAACGATACATCTGGCGTGAGGGGGGATCCTGTACTCTTAAACAAAGGCTAACGACATACAATATAAACCAGCAAAGTCGTTCTAAGTAACACAATGATAGCGTACCAAAATATGACAGCATAACTTCTCTTGACGCGTGCATAGCACAACGACGAGTGGTTTCCCATACAATTACCAATACATACCTACACATTGCAGACTGAGATACAACAGTGAGGAATTTATTCCTTCGCTATAATCCTCGACCTCATCCATAGACATAAACCCAGATTCATCGAAACGCTTTTCGCGTTCTCTTATGAGTCTCTCGAGCCATCTGCGATTTAGCTGGTGCGTGTGCACAGCTTTGGCCAGTTCCTTCAACACGGGATGACCCGGGTCTTTCGCATTCTAGCAGAATAATAAATATACCATTGTTAATCGATCTGGAGCAATTATTAGTAACATAGTACCGTAACAGAGGCTGGTTGGTCGCAATTCATATGTATAGAACTATATCCCTTGAGAGCAACACCACATCCTTAAACCAACTTTGAAAAAACACAGTATGGCAATCTCAGGGAATATGTACAGGTGATAAACCAAATTTACCCACGAGCACATAGTTGTTTACGTATATATTGACTTACCTCATACACAAAGCCTAGACTATCCCGCCACCATTGCGATCGAATCCTTGCAATCTGTATCTCACTTGTCACCTCACGGATCTGTGCCACCTCAATGTTAAAGGCTCTGATGGCAAAGACTGCCTGACGTATATCCGCTGGTAGCCACAATGAGCTCAGAAAGTGCTCGGCATCGTGCTTTCTAATTATCAAGAACAATCACATATACGATATTTAGAAGTAACCGATATGCGAGACAAGTACAGCGTGTGATGAGGAGTGAACATACCGCTTAGTATCTGATTCTCTAAGTACAACACTGAAATCGTAGTAGGCAAGTACAAATATCCCTTGAAGAAGTCGGGCGTGCAGTTAAACAGGAAAACATACATGAGACCTTCTGATTCACTACATCAGTGTGTAAATGACTAGCATACACATTTATGCCCGACTCACTGGAAAATTTCAGTACATACTGGTATAAAGGATCGTCATACCTTACGAGGTCCTGACAGTATGTGCTAGAAGAGATAGCGGAAGCACATCTCCTATTGCGACGTAACACCCCTCGGATACTATTAACTTGGGGGCTCGCTGCTGAAACACATACGGGTATATTTTGTAAAGGGAGCAATGAGCCACGACAACTCCGTGCAGCAATAAAGTTCATGCTGATATCTGACTACTATGTATGGTCCAAGGCGATATTAAGAGATGTAGTTGGTGTCCGATACAATACAATATAATTCAGACTTGTTTGTTATAGTGTTTTGTAAAACAAGAACGAGAAAAGAACAGTTAATGTTTAAATACCGCCGTGATGTCTTTATTTGATACGTAGACCCAGTGTAGTAGAACCCAACAACAGCAAAAGAGTGAGGCCGAGTGGAAAATTATAGACCCTTGTGACGTACAACAAATGACGTACGTACATTTGATAATATACCTCTCGTCGAGCAACATATTGTTTGCGAATGATACACCCTAACACCAAGAAGTAACTTGCAGATGTGTTGACCCTTGAGGTCGAGGATGTGGCGTAGGTATAGTTATAATGAGACTATCATTCTGCCTATTGGCCCTATGCTGGTCTGTAGCTGCTTATCGACCAATTTTCTGCATGCATGGCATCCATGACTCTGAGCACGCTTGGGAACACTTCAAGGTCAGTTTCAAAAATAGTAATACTAGTTGTTCACGTGCTTGTACAATTCTATATTACATTGTATAATTGTACACACAGACATAAAAAATACATACACACACACACACACACACACACACACACACTACTA